AAAGTTGTACATTTGGAGCGGCTGACCCCCTACGGAACGGGAACTGTGCCTATTCGGGACGAACAGGCTTAAGCGGGGGGCAATGTTACGAATATAAATTTAGATTTAAGTTAATTTAGATGAATTCCGTTAATTTAAGAATTTGAATTGTAACGTAAATTTGTACTACGCAGTTTATTTGAATAACTTCAAACAACAACTACTGTATAGATTTTTCTACATCCTTCCATTTCCACTTTCATTTTCTATTTTGTTATTGTCGTACAATTCTTGTTAAACGTCATCATTGATGATCGCTTAATTCCTCTTTCTTTGTTACCCCCTCGCCTGTATATGTGTTGTTGTTATTGTTTACTCAATGTAAGTTTGTATGTGTTGTTGTTATTGTTTACTCAATGTAAGTTTGTATGTGTTTTTGTGGCATTGGTAGATTGTTCGTAATCTAGGCGTTACCAGATCGTCTAGAAACTTCTGTAGCGACAAGCGAGGCTCATATAAATAGGGGAAATGGAAAGACAGTGAGTCAGTTGTGAATCAGATCGCGAATTGAAACCGTCGAGTAAAGTAAAGTGCAAAGTAAAGTTGTGTGAATAAAATCATTGTAATAATCGTAATCCGAAAGAACCGGCGTTTTATTTGGGGATTCAGTAAAATCCAAGAACGTAACACTATTAAAAAGTACTGGAACAGACCAAATGTGTACAAAATTTTTCTACTGCGTCGTTCATGGTATAATAATAGAAGGTAACAGCAAGTGTTGTTGTACAAAAAACGATACAACAACCACATGGAAATTTGTTTTTGTAAGTTCTACTAGTGTCAACTCATTTGACTGAAAAATGTAAATAAACAAACAAATTATCATCAAATTATTTTTATTTTGAAAATGAAATATTTTCGAATCCTCAAAATAAAAATTGAAAAACATGAATGAAAATCTATCAAATTTATATTTCTATCTATTCCACATCTTTCCTATAATTGAGCCATTGCCATATATATGTGTAACACATATGAAAATGCTGGGAATAGCGATTTATTCCTTAAAGAAAGATTTGCTTCCTCAAACTTTCCCAGCAGGCAGATTGAGTAAATTGAATACAGGAGCACATTTAATAAAGAACAATTTTAAATTGTATGCGTTCCCAATTTTCCTGTTGGGTGATTTTTAAAAACATAATTTGTCAAATTCATATTGACACTAGTATAACGTTGGAATCAAATCAGCTGGGATTTGCTGTTACCTTTTATAATTGTACCATGTGCGTCGTTCTACATAAATCAGAAATGTCATATCGAACTTGACACGAGTATTACGATACAATCAAATCAGCTGAGTATTACAGTTACAAACACCAAGTTGTATCATGTAGGTAGCATGATTTAAAATAAAACCTGTCACAATGTAAACAAATTATTTTAATATTAATTTGTTCAAAGATGTATTTTACAACATTGGTATGAAGAAATCCCATCTCGATTTTTTAAAAAAAAAACCAACATTCCAAAAGATACCCTACCTTGTATAATAGTACCCATGGTATAATTATTGCAAGGTAGGGCGCAGTTGGTAGCTGTTTACAATTTTTTCTCAAGGTGGTTTTGAATACTATGTCAAATGAATTCAAAATAAATTGAAATATATTCAAATTTAATTGAAATGAAAATGATGTTCTTAACGTCCGTCTGGAAGTAATTACTTTGTTATGGATGAAACAAATATTTCATGGTATTCCCTGCTAGGTTAGGTTTGGGGATGTGCAGTCACATGTGTGACTGCAACACTCTGAGACCGGTTAGGTCCGTTGTGATCATCCACAAGAAGAGATACAGCGAAGAGAAGAGACCAAAGACAGATCTGTAGGGGAGAGAAGATTAGTAAATTAAAGGAGTGAAGAATGAATGAAAGTCGATGGCCCTAAGAGTCAGACAGAAAAAGTGTTTTGTTTGTTTCTAATTATGCCGTAGATTAGAGCAGGTTCGGTTGTTGAGAAAAAGCTGAGACCCTGTAGAAAATGAGCATACATTAGTCTGTGTCGCCTGTAGGCCAGGGCTGGGCAATGACACAAGAGATGCTCAATTGTCTCCGTCTCCTCCTAGTCAACACAGAGTCTATAGTAATCAGTTGCATCAAGATCCCATTTACTAGTAAAAGGCCTGATGTTGCAGTGACCAGTGATGATTCCCGTCATCACTCTAATTTCAGCTTTGCTCAGGTTCAATAGTGAGTGCGTTCTTTTGGTAGACATAGTCGGCCAAATTGATCTTGACACGTTGCACCTAGGTTCGTTGTGCCAAAGTTCGCAGGCCGTTTTGTCAAAGAATGCCTCAACATTCCTATAGAAAAGACATATGGTGGTATGGTGCGTTCTTTTGGTAGACATAGTCGGCCAAATTGATCTTGACACGTTGCACCTAGGTTCGTTGTGCCAAAGTTCGCAGGCCGTTTTGTCAAAGAATGCCTCAAAATTCCTATAGAAAAGACATATGGGTGGTTTGATTGAGTCATCAGTTTCTAGATCGGTGGATTGAGATCCTCGTCTAGCTATTTCGTCCGCTCTTTCATTACTCAATATGTCACAATGTCCTGGTACCCAACACAACCAATAGCTATGGTTAAGTTCTTCCAGAGCTGCTCTACACTTCGGATTTGATGTGACAAGATTTGATGGTTTTAAGAGCCGCATGACTATCCACAATGATAGTCACCGGTTCAACGACCTCAGCATCCAGATTTTTTATAAATTCCGCTGCATTCCAGATCGCGAAGATTTCAGCTTGGAAAACACTACAGTTGCTATCCAGCTTCTAGGTCAACTCAAAGCCTAACCTTTCACAGTATACGCCTGCCCCAGTACCTTCTTCCATCTTGGATCCGTCTGTATAGAAAGCCAGAGGAGGGTTACTTCGTTTCCTGTCGTCTCTACTAGGAATAACGACATCTACATCGTCAAATCTAAGGATTGGTTATATATAGTCGCTTAGTTTAGCGCGTTAGTCCAATGCTATACCTGGTTCATTCAGAACACTAATATGCCCAAAGGTACAGTTCCGCCAGAGTTTTTGTTCATGCAGCCTTAGGGCGCAGCCTGACACTTAATGATGAGGCCCAAAGGCTTGAAGTACAGCATTGCATTCAAAGCTGCTTGTGGCGTACTCCTTCTGGCTACTGTAACTAAAATCGCGGCGGCTCTTTGTATCTTGTCTAATTTACTTGAGGCTCAGATAGTTCCACCAAACAAGAGAGTCATAGGACAAGATGGGCTTTATGGTTTTAGCCCCCAGCTTTTCCCAATGGAGTTCTTGCATGCATAGAGTGAAATCATTCCTCTCTTCGCCCGCTCCTCAACGTTCCTTTTCCATCGTAGTTGACAGTCCAGGATTGTGCCGAGGTACTTTGCTTCGGGAGATAAGTGAAGTTGCACTCCATCCAATGTTGGTGGAACAAAGACGCCGAGCTCACGCTTCCTAGTAAACATTAACAGTTCCGTCTTAGTAGAATTTACACCAAGACCATTTGCCCTGGCCCAGCGTGACAGCGTCAGTAAGGCTCTTTGCATAAGCTCAGAGATTGTAGACGGAAATTTTCCGGAGATCAATATCACCACGTCGTCCGCGTAAGCTACAACTTTGATACCTTTCCCGTCCAATTCCCTCAATATGATATTAATAACCAGTAGCCATAGTAACGGCGAAAGCACCCCTCCTTGAGGTGTGCCTCTAGTTACCGTTTTCCTGATTTTTGTATCCTCCACACTTGAATTTATAATTCTGCTGTTAAGCATTTTATCTATCCAATATGTCAGGGTATCAGGAATGCCAACTTCCCTAAGTGAGTGGTTTATGGATTCAAGTTTAACGTTGTTAAAGGCTCCCTCTATATCTAAGAAGGCGGCCAGCGTAAAATTTGAATTTTCCATGTTCCTCTCAATATAGCCTACCACTTCGTGCAGTGCAGATTCCACAGACTTGTCCTTTATGTATGCGTGTTGTGAGTTGCATAGAGAGGTGTCTTGAGGAGAAAGGATGATATGCTAATGGGTCTATAGTATTTTGGTGCAGAGTGGCTTGGTTTCCCTGCTTTGGGAATATAAGTAACCTTTACCTCGTTCCATAGATCCGGAACATACGAGAGAGTCAGACACGCAGTATAAATCTTCTCAAGGATCAGATAAATAATTGGCGATGCATATTGAAGCATCACCGGTAGAATACCATCCGGTCCTGGCGATTTATACGGCTTGAATGTGTTGACCGCCCATCGTATCTTATTTCTGTTAACCACCTTTCTAATGAGATCCAGATCCGGAGTGGCAAAAGGCTGAGTGTCATCACGATCACCGTCGATGGTACCCATGTCTTTGCAACCCGGAAAATGAGTCTCGGCTAGGAGATTTAGAGTCTTAGAACCTGAGTCCGTTCACGCTCCATCCTGCTTCTTAATACTACCGATGGACTTCGGGTCCTTGGATAGTAGTTTTCGAAACCTAGCAGCGTCGTTGACTCCTATCGACTCACAGAAATTTACCCATGACTTTTTCTAGATTTTGGAAAAAATCATAACCTTTCATTCATTTCTCGCGTTTATACATGGTACCATAAATAAAAACAAATGTCCTGTTCATTTGACATTTTTGTAACATTTCTCTTTTCACGATCAGTTCAAAATTTATGAAGAACAAATCAAATACGATTATATAGAAATTATATCCATGTACTTCCATCCCTGTCTATGGGTGTTATCACTTCACTGTGAACATCGTATTAAGAAGAAGAAATTGTTTTAAGTTTCTTCATTCCATGCTCTTTCTAAATATTTTGGTTGAGAAATTTGCTTTAATCCCTTAATTTATCGGCGATTTTCTTTCATCTTCTCTTGAAAAACGTGATATTTGTTTATTTTCATTTTATTTCTGAAGAAGCTTTCTTTAACATGTAAGTGATTTCTGATAAAATCCTAAAAAATGAATTAATCTCTAAGAATTAATGGAAATATTTCCCCAATTTCAGAATGGATACGCAAATACAACCATTGCAGGAATATTTGACAAACATTGTAGTGCCTGATAAAAGGCCCAACATTGACATAAATCCGGAACACATTACTATGCTGCATGGCACCAAAAGTAAAAAACAGTTAAGTCGAAAGAAGAAGGCATCGAAATCAACTACCCTCACTAGGCGTGAATATGCCCAGTTAGGTCTGCACACATTACCCACCCGACAAATGAAATACTCCGACGCTTTGCCATTGCATCGACTGTGGAAGGGTTATATGAAGGAACACTTGGGTCTCAACGAAGGTGACCAGGTGCCAGAGGTTTATCAACCCGGCTATGATGCCTTTAGTAAACTTCTAGTTAAGACTGATTTGCATGGATCCAAAATGGCCGTTATTAAATCGAAATGTTCAACACTTGTGGGAATATCCGGTATCGTTGTAATGGATACAAAAAATGTTCTCAAAATCCTCGGGAAGGATGATCGTTTGAGAACGGTGCCAAAAAGTGAATGTGTTTTCAGTATGAAATTTGGTAACATGGATTTTATAATATATGGCAAGCATCTGTGTATACGACCAGCCGAACGATCTGTGAAAAAAATAAAAAATTACATTGAACCATTTGATTGCTAAACAGTAATTGGTGCAAAAAATGAATGAAAATGATTTTTTTTAATATTTTGATTTTTACTTTTTGTAGGGAGATTAGATTTTTTTCATATTCATACATTAAAACCCCTGTATGTGAACATTTTAAACTACCAATAGGTTCATAACAAAGACCTGAAATAATAAAGACTAGACAAAATGCATTTTCCAGAAAAAATTCAATTTTCCTATATAGATGGTGTTGAAGTCGACTGGAAAAAAATGCAGATTTTGAAAGCTCTCTCAGAAAAAATATGGCTCCCAGCATTGAGTGTAATGTTATAGAGTGTCTCAAAAAATGCTTGCCATTTTTTCAAAAATAAAAAGCTTAATTTGAATTTGTCAAAATATAGACATAGTAGATGAATTGTTTTTACAACGGCGTTTGTTTATTAAATACTGTTCAAGCGGACAATTGGAGCCTAGGAACGACGATACGCCCAAATCGCATATGATGGCAAAAATATGCACTAGGCGGAAATGAGAAATGATATACCATCAGAATGGTATCGTGTTCATGTCCACTCTTATTCACTTTACATATGTTCTTATTATCAATAATATTTTGGATGAATTAATAGAAAGGCATTGATTTAAAGTTTTCACTTTTCAATATTATAAAGAAAAAAGTTTAAAAAGTCGTTATATTCGGCCGGGCCGAACTTTATATACCCTCCACCATGAGGTGGATATTCAAAAAGCCTGAATCCGATAGAATGTTTTAGGAGAAAACGTAATACCAAATTACAACATATTCCGATGAAAAACATGCCAAAACCAGTAAGGAAAGTTCAAAAGTCGGACGGGCCCGACTATATGATACCCTTCACCACTTTGGGTACATGCAATACATGTTAACATCTACAATATCCTGTAGATAGAACGGTCATAAAATCTTTGGAGGACCATTGAGATGAAATCGGGCGAAATTAAATGTTCTATCTAGATAGACATTTGAACCAATTGAAAAAACCCCATACACACACCATTCTGAAATCAATAAAAATTTGCATGTCAAACGGACAGAATTGGATTCTTTGGTGTACCATTTGTATGAAATCGAGTCAAATTATGTATGGGAGCTGTATATAAACACATGGACCTAATTGAGTAACCGTTGCGTACATAATTTGTTTTTTGTAATCACTACATTCAATTTAATACCCTCTGCCAAATTTCGTGTAACCACCATTTACATAAAATCGAACCACAGTGTGGGGAGGGCTATAAATACCGAATATTGGGGGTACCGTTATATGGTGGTATTGGGGGTACCGTTATTACAGCCAAGTTATTTCGAGGTATAGCAAACAACATGACAATTTTACACAAACATACGTTTCCACGACAGAGGGTTTACGTTTCCACGACGATCTGAAACGACATTACATCCTTCTTGATAAGAAAATAAAAACTAAATTTGATTTTAGAGATCAATTATAATGTAGCATTTTGGTCATTGTGAGTTTGTCTTATAAAAACTACGTAAACATATTATTATTATAAATTTAAATATTATATTTTTTAGAAATCCATATACCACATAATGATGAAATTTATCGAATTTTGACCCAATTTAACACAACTAACCGACTAAATATATTTCAAGGACTTCAACAAAAAGTTTAATTTTATTGTTTAAGTGTTAAAAAACACAACATTCTCAGCTTTTATAAATCATAAATCTCACATGTAATGTGATTTTATCTGGATTTAGTACAAATATTGCAAATCGCCACATATAGTTCAACTTATCGAGAAGTATTAGGTGACTTTTCGGATTGGTAGTGATTCTGATGATAATTTCAACAAATTGGTAATGCCTAGCTGAAATAATGAGATTTGCTTCATTGACAGTCTCAGCGGAAGACATGTGCACTGTAAAGATTTTTTCCACGGCTAATTTTAATTAATAATAGTTCCTAGAAACAACCAAAGAAAGTCCAACCGCAGCATCGAGCTCCTGTGAAAGCTCAATTGATTCGGATACGTTTTTCTAAATTTCCACATATTTCGTCTTAGCGTGGTGGAAGAGTGTGTCACAATGTATCTCAAAGAATTGCACTGTTATGCCTTCCTTCTTTATCTGATTCGTTGTTATCTTCGGCTTTAACAACGTCGAACATGACAATTTGAAATAAACAAAATTGTAAATGACTATGATTTACATAATAAATAATTTGTTGTTTGTGTGTGTGTGTTTTTTTTTTTCAAACAAAATAGTGCTCAACTTTGCTATGACAGTCTCTTTTAAATTGTCTTTTTGTCAGAATTCCAGTGCATTTCAGAGAATATAAAAATCATTTCACTCAAAAGTTAACATTATGTTATGTCACGATATGGTGATACCACACCGACATATATATTTCATTCGTGACTATAAAATGTCCTATCTTTATACTTTTATGTCTTTGCCAATAGGTTCATAAGTTGTGATTTTTAAGACTTATGTTCATAGCCCCAGAATGTAGATTTGATTGAAGTCAATTTACAGATGATACAGATTTACAGATAACCCTCGAAGAGATTAACCAATTTCATCCAAACTTTGCACATCATATTTCTTACAAACTTAGTATATGTTCGAAGATGGCGCATGTCGGTCCACACTCCTTCTGGTACCTCCCCCACAAATGGTATAAATTTCCAATATTATTAAATCCAATGTCCATGAAGCGAATTGAGTAACCGACAACAATATTAGCTCGAAAACCTCTGATAAAAACATATACCATATTTAAAACGAAAAACTAATAAATCCTGTGTGTAATTCCGAAGACCTGCGACTGACACTTTTTTACTTGTTTTATTTCATATGAACCGACAACTTCTTAAGAAGATGTAGCCGATTTATTGTGTCATCTGCTTGGTGTGTATTCCGGACAATACTATATTATCAATTTTATATTTGCCAAACTGTCCATGTCTCTGGCCACTCAGCGATGGACGCCTACAGAGGATATTTTCAATTGTTTCTAGCTCTTCCTCCTCCTCACATAGACGGCAATAATTCACTTCCTTGATGTCCCATTTTAAAGTGAGAGTTCTAATCTTGCAGCGACCTGTTATGATCCTCACGGCGAATGGACCTACATATAAACTAGGATAAATCGAATCATAGATCTTTCCTATTTCTCTTTCCTTTCTCCGTTTTTTTAGAAAATAAGCGATTTTCCAAAAAAAAAATCCTTATTTCACCATTTTGCTAATTGTAGTCAATAATCCTAATTTATATTTGAGCAAAATTTGCAGACTTTATAATTTCGTTAGAATTTTGAGATTCGTATGTTCCAGTGATTGGAAATCATGCGTCTTCGAATACATGTACGCAATGTTAGAAGTCTTTAACCTAATTTTTGCCGGTTGAAAATCGCCGAATATGAATACGAGAATGGGTGGGTTGCTTTAACATATAATTTCGTGAGCATATGGCATTTAGCAAATATATATTTGTTCATTGGGCGGCTAACCTTTATATAATTTTAAAACGTGTTTAATTCTTGTATATAACGTATTTTAGATCTATTTAGAACAAAAATACACATTTTTAATTTTTTTTGTATTTTATTATTTCTAAAACTTATAATTTAATTATAACTAAGTTGCTCTTCATTCTTAATGTACATACGTTATTTGGTTTTATTTACTATTCTTGGATGAGTTAAAAATGGCAAAAAATCAGCATGTGTAAATTATAACAAAGTTTTTAATTTAAATTTAAATAAAAAGAAACATTGTGGCAGTAAAAAATTAAAATTTGTAATGATTTTCAAATATGTTCAAATCCAACACAGAAAATCTCATTTATTACTTATTATTTATACATATGTACATATGTTTGTTTGTTAATTTTGCATAAAATTAAAGGAACTTTCATTTTACTTCATTGAATTAAAAAAAAGATCGTTTGTTTAGTTATTTGAATTCATGATTTCATAAAATTGTTTAGCCTATCATTATTTATATATACATTCATATATAACAGAAGTATGTTATTATTATTATTTCAAACTACAATTTAAAATAAATTAGAGCAAAAATTGGGGGGTAATTTATTTCAAATTATTATTTTTTTTTTTTTTTTGAATTCATTTACACATACATGAAAAGGAGATGTTTTGTGGTGACTAATGTTTGTATGCATTTTAACTAAAAACACCATTTTGATAATTGTTATACTAATTAAGTGAATGTCTTTTTTGTTTTAATTAATGTATTTGTACATAAATTGCTTAAAGCAAGACATTTTCTCTATATTTTTTGGTTTTACTTGCAAAAATTTGTGCAAAATTTGTTTCCATTCTAATTATTGTTTCTCTTTAATAGATAATTCCAATTCATTATATAGATGGAACTCATTGGAAACTAGATCAGTCATGCCCAACAACCAAATATATGTGCAGCGATTGAAGCTGAAGATAAGTGGTTGTTAAACAATACCTCGCCAGATTGATATTTTGTCAATGTTGTCAATTGAGCTGAAAATATAAATATATTTGCTTTTTTAACTTCCACTTCATATATAATGGCCTGAAATTATCCATCCTTGTAGTGTATATGCCAATTTCTTCTAAAAATGTAATTTATTAAGTAAACCCGTTTCATAGTTAATTTAATTTCAAAAAATAAATATAATAACATAAAAAATATGTACATACAGTCTTGGGATGTAAAATAGCACAAAACTTTTTTATTTGTTTATTTTTTTAGCATACAATTCACAAAATAGAACTTTGTATGATGGGGTTCACCCTAATTAACAATTAATTGAATCAAAAATGAAAAATGTAGTATCAATTAAAATATTGTCGACTAGTTCTTACCAAACATTTTCAAAACAAGATATGAAAAAATTTAGATGGGCTAACATTTTAAGAGTATGTTGAAAATAAATCTTTCAATATTTCTAGGAAAGATGACTTGAGGTCTGCACCATTTTATCCCGTTTGTTCAAAAACGAGCCATACAAGAAGAATACGATTATATGTTTCGAAAAATAGAATATTTTTTTCATACAATATTCGAAAAGGATGAAAATGTTGGCAATTTACCGATATTTAGAATTATATAGCATTCCCCTACAATTTAGCGATTTTTTTAAATTTCACTCAATTTTAATTGCTTTATTCGGAATGCAAATAAAGTATTAGTAAAGATATCAGATGTCCTATCTGTTATATAATCCCGGTGGAGGTACACAATAGCCTGCTGAGCGCTCTAAAAAAAATCTCTCACATCCTCTTCTTTAACGCCGTATTCAATCTGGCTGAAATACTTCAAAATATAGCCAACATTACTGAAGGGTTGTTTATACACCACTGAATTTATGTCTTCCATATTAATTCCGCATTGAAATAATTTTAGATCTCTTTGATGTACTTTGACTTGGATTTTTTGGTTTGATTCCTAGCAATTTATTTGGAATTGATATTTGTACAACATATCCCAATAGAGGTAAGTTTGTTAAACAATCGAAACGAAAAAGAAAAAAAACTCATTCATGGTTTTTAATAGAGTTCCAGTGCATTTTTTAAATATGTGCTCTTAACAAGTATAGTGAAAAGTATGCTAATTCACCGATAAAAAAAGTTTTGAGCTAATTTACAGGACATTGGCTGTATATTTTTCAACAAAATAAAATATAAATAATTTTTCTAAAAGAAAAAAAAACTAAAACAATAATAATAAAAAAGAGAAGACAAGCTGTAGCATCATTTACGAATTAAACAGCAATAATAAAGAAACATTTCAATAAAAGAAAAAAAAATTAAAAATATATATATAAGTATTGGTGTAAATTGATTGCTGTTTTTGAGATACCATTTTGGAAGATATATGAATGAACAATTATAATTTTTTTGCTTTAAGTACATCTAAGCTACCCTTTTTATGCTGTCTGTATAAATGGCAATGATACTATGCTTTAAGGCCTCTTTTTTTCTGGGGGAGGAGTGCGACACATACGCACGCCATAGTTTCCAACTGTCATTAATTTATTTTATGGAAACCATACTCGTCACGACCACGTTGAGTTCAATCAATAAAGATCATCCTCCATGTTGTGTATTAGGATTTTCTTATCTTCTTTGGTATTGCTGCTGCTGGTATCACGATTTAATGTTTGTTGTACCATTTTTGGATCGAAACAAGGCTGAAATTTTAGGAAAAAGAAAGAAATATCGGTTAACACAACACTTTGTTGTACACCTTAGATTAGTGTATTTAAATATCTACCGTATCACAATAGTTCATATTACAACAATTTTCGATTGTTATTTCACATTGTTCTGTTGCAATTGGTCGATTGGTTAACGGGGTATCTGTTGAAGCGGGTTGTCTACGCACCACAAAGGTTTTCTTTATTCTTGGCCTGGCCGGTTTGTAGAATCGGCGTATAGCATGTACAATAAATAGAACCAAACTCAGGCACGATACAACACCGGCCACCAGGGCGATTATAACTGTATTGGTCCATGTCACTTGATCCTTACAGACTTCTAAGTGTTTGTATGTTGGTATCGCATATAGTTGAGCAGCCTCTTCATTTTCCGAAGACAATTCTTCGCATCTGTAAGAAAAATATATAAAATATTTGTTCTTAGGATTTAATAGGATAGGGGGGATTATTAATCGTGATTTTCCTATAGAAAATACTTTCATAAAAAAATTGAAATGAAAAAAAACCAATACTGATTCTATTTTTGTCCCTTTAACGGTTCTGATTGTTATTTTACTTTTTTGTAGTCTTTTTAAACTTTTACTTACATATCATGACATCCGAAAGGAACATATGTTTCTGGCTCGTATTTCAGTACACGACAGAATAATGCACAAATTTCTGTCGAATTTTGATCACACCGTTGACCGCCAAAATTGTCGGGACACTCACATGACGGCTCTCCATTACTTTCAATTTTACACACACCATCATTCAAACAATATCCCGCACACATAGACGATTCACAGCGTTTGCCGTAGAAACCACGTTGACAGGAACATTTCTGTTGACCAGTCGAAGACATGGTGCATGTGCCATGGATGCAGTAGTTGTGACATTCATTAGTCTCACAACGTGCACCGATATAGCCCACCTTACAAATACATATACCACTTTGTGGTATATATTCACCATCGTTGAGACAATAGTCACGTTGTTTTGTGGTTGTTTTATTCGATCCCGTTGTGTTGGGCACAGAAATTGGTACTGCATCTAGAATACGGCGCTTTATTTTATTCACCACACTGGCACAGTGTTCATCTTGTTGCAGGTTGGTCATAAAGCGTGTACGTGCTATTATGCCACTTGGTTTGTCCTGCATACGCAGGATTATGTGTGGTTTTGCCTCCTCTTCAATCACGCCTACTTCGGTGCGATTTACCTTTTCACTAGCCTCTTTGGTGTGAGTCCATATCGCCTCGTGTCGCTGATCTGTCCAGAAGATTAGTTCCTTTGTCACGGCCAAATTCGAAGGTGTACTGTCGAGACCCTTGACAATAATTTGACGATCGGTACCATCCAATTTGGCACTTTCAACAGTAAAGTGTATTCCCTGCTGATCGACCACCCAGTAAATGCGGTCCGACAATTGATCCACAACTATGCCATGTGGTAAATACAAATCTTTGTCGATAATCACTTTACGATTGGTGCCATCCAAATCAATGCGCTCAATTGTGGCATTGGCAAAATTTGAATTAGTCCAGTACAGTTTGCGGCGACAGAAATCAATTGCAATGCCATCCGGCACGGTGTCTTCCTTGGTGAAATCCATGAGAACTTTCGGCAGATCTTTGCCAGCTCTATCCACTGAGGCATAGTAGATCTTTTTTCCTGTCTGATCGACCCAGTAGACATTGCGACCCAACGGATCGTAGGCAATGCCGGTGACTGTTTCATTTTCAGTTCGTTGAACTACCGTGTCAATGTTGTGAGTATCACCTGAAGCGGCGTTGGGTAACTTCAATGAAAATATGCTGCCGTTATTGTGCAGACGATCAGCGAAGTAAACAATTTCTTCGGTTTCATCGAAAGCAATGGCCGTTAAATGATCAAATTGATGGGCCGATGAGGTAACATCCCGCCATTGGTCGTTGTAAAAGACAATTTTTGTTTTCGCTGTTACAGCATAATCTGCAAGCAAAGGTAAGAAGAAGAAAACAAAAAGAAAATTAAAAAAGAGAGAAAAACTAAAAATATGATGCGATACGCATTTGGTTTTTTATTTTTAATTATTTGTAAAGAGTGGGTAGCAGTATGACTACCCTTGACTTTCAATATTGTCTTTGAATGTCAAAGAAAGCGAAATCAACTGGTATATTAACAAATATAATAAAAAAGTTAACACAGTTTAGCATAGACGGTGAAACAAATCTGTTGTTTCTCTCATAACAATTTCCCTGAAAATTAAAATAAGAGCCAGAAAACAAAATACTTAAAGCCGAAACAAATTCAACAAGAAAAAATAATATATCGCAGGTTAAAAAAAGACAGTAAAATAACAGTCTTCCAAATATTTTGTTTGGGCACAGTCAGCATTTTAGAGTTAAATATAGTTATGCATGAACTTTAAATCCCATTAGAAATTTCCAAATTCGACGTAGCGTCATGTGTGCAACAATATAAATTTCTTTTTAGGTATCGCATTGCTGCTACCTACCTTTCAAAATTCACGTATTGATAACTTTTTGTAGATAACTAATCGCAATTAATATGACAAATACAATTGCGCTATATGTTTCGCGCAATGAACCAATGAGAAATAGTTTTGTAGTTGTTGTATGCAATTAATTGCCCCCTTTTTATATGTCGTATTTCAGTCTTGCGGAATCTAAAGTCAAGACTTTTATGCAAACAGAAATTTATTATAACATGAATTCCTAGTTGAAACCCCTACCCTTCTTTTGGGACTGCGGGGATAAAATGTCTGGCTAAAATCCAAGACATAAATTGAATCTTAATCAATACAAATTGAAATCAATTATGTTTGGTTGTTATATTAAATTTACTTTAGTTAAATTTATGAATAAGTCGGTTTGATTTTTTTAAATTTTTTTATTGATATGCCTTTTTCTTGATGTCAATAACATGACGCCACAAAAAGCAAGAATTTTGATAAAGGCTATTAATACTCTGATATTTTCGATATTTTTTTCATATTATGAAGGCCGGACGTTAATGCATTTTTACTTTTTTAAAAGAATATCAGAAAATTTGTACTGTTTTTCTAAACATAGATTCAGAACTGATGGCATATCTTAATGTCTAAACTGAGAAAAAAAAAAACATTTTATTGGTATAGTTCAATTTCAAATTCCTCTAACCTTAAAACATTCAATATTTTATTCTATTTATAATGTTTCCAATTGGTTTGCATTGGAAAAACTGTTACAAAGTTCACCGGATCAATTATGTGACAAACATTTACTAGATGATTTAGATTCGATTTAGATTGATTATTTGCAAATAGGCTCTGTCTCTGAGGTGAAGTTTAGTATTTCAAGAACGTAATTAATGGGAAATCCCAATATATTCTAAATTGATAAGATGCAATTAATCGTAATACATTATTAAAAAAAAACAACATGTTTACATATTGTCAGACGAAGCGATTAATAATAAATTAGTTGTGGAATTTAACGGATCAATGGTCAAAAACTTATTTCAAATATTAAATGACAAAAAATTTTGAAATTGATAAAATTAATAGTGTTTAGATTTTTTTACATCATAAAAGCGAAAAGGATTAAATGTGGCGATATGGGAAACTGCAAAATTATTATTTTTTATTATTTTTTGTGACTAACACAATAATCCTATAGGGACGGGTTGAACGAGATTAACCTATATATATATATATATATATATTCCATTTTTAAACGCACATTCATTTGATATTATTTTTACTTGTTTTGTCATCTATACCGCCCTTAATTGATTAAATTTAACTCGATCAGCATTTTTAGGTAATAACATTTAAATGACATTTTTTCCAACATCAAAGAATGCGAATTATAATTGCGAAATAATTTTTTTTAATTGCAAATTGTAAAAGGCAGCAAAATAAGTTTTAAAATAAATTATGCTTACATTAAAAAAAAATAAATAAAAAAACATCATACTAGCCGCCCTAGAAAAATATGAAGAAATCTAAAATGCGTCGAAAAAAATAAATAAAAAAGCCTATACCGTAAAAAACGCTGGTATTACATTTGAGTGGGATAATTTTAAAAGGGACAAGATTTTTTTAAATGATTTATCCGTTATCAGATGCAATACCAGCTTTTTTATTTTTTAATGAAGTATTAATATTAAATTTGTCATTCGATTTGCAGCATCTCGAAATATTTACGGGAGACATTTTGAAGTATATAAATTCTTGATCAAAATAAAATTCTATGTCGTTTTATGCATGTCTGTCAGTTGAAATCACAATATTTAAGGTAGAGCATTGAAATTTTACACATATTACTCCTAGAATGTTTGGTATTGAAAATGGTATATTCCCCATATAGAAGTATTTCAAACTTTCGCTATTTCGAGGATTTTGACACTTTTTTTTAGCAAAATTGACTTCAAAATTGAATTCAAATTTGGTATCAAATCTTCATACCAAAAATGATCAATTTTGCTTCACTTTTTAGAATACTTCGAGATAGAAGATGTGTTCCCTTAGCCAAACTTAAAAAAAATCCAGACGCGTCGATCTTGTGCGCAATTTTTCCAATTTGAAAGACAATGCTTTAATATATCGTCCTCCACTCGATATTTCCAACGAAATCGTGTTCTTCAGCTTATGCATGAACCATCAGTAGGCTTGCTTTTATATCCCTTTTGTGCTGGGGTATCCGCATCCAACCGTAGACGCTGCAGCACGATACGACTGACTATGTCGATTTCCGTGTATAGATTGTAAAACTCATGAAATTCACCGTCGAAGCAGATCGGCCGTGAATATTGTGGAAAATTTTTCTCTCAAACACTCCAAAAACTGCGTCATATACTTGCACAAGTACACATGCTTCCGATCCATACACCAGCACTGGCAACATCAGCGTCTTGTAGAGTGTGAGTTTGGTCTGGCGGGAGGTGGTCTTGCTTCTAAACTGCTTACTTAGACCATTGTAGCATTTGTTGGCCAACAATATCTTTCTCCGGATTTCAAAGCTGATCTTATTTTTAAATCAGCTTTGAAATCCGGAGAGAACTACATCATTGCTGTCATTAATGTAAAAATAGATCAAATTCAATGCAGTGATCATAACAGTTCATTGAAAGATTATGTTTCTCCCAACCAATCGGGACATGAATGGAGCGAGCTACTGACGTGGAGATGAGGAACAAATGGAAACCATCGATCATATATAATATTGATATTCTCTCTACCATTCCTTTTCGGTTTAGATGACATAAAAAACGTGGATTTAACAAAAATGTTATGGTTAAGCATTTAATCTCATCTTCTAATAGCCTCCATTTTCCTTTCTTCTATCCTATCCTTGCTCAGGAGGAACACTATGGACCAAGGGTGTCCGATTTTGAAATCAGCTGCAAAATGATTGGTGACTGAACACACTATAACGAAATCTAACCAAAATAACTATACAATCATGTATTTTACGCACGTGAAGACTTGTTCCGGTGGTTGCCCCTACGCAACAACTATATATTTTAATCTAGTAGTTAATTTAAATTAAATATGCCGAGGATATAACATGCAGTAAACCTGTTATTTGTATGTCAATGTATTTACTGCACGTTGATCTTTTTACACAGAATTTTTAACATAACAGGTTAAATATATGGCTATTGCAATGATGATCGATTACAACATCAAGATATTTTGCACTCTTCTATCGAGGGTATTTTATTATTATTTTTCTGTGTTCGTTGAAAAATAATTTTAATTTGTTCAGTTCTGTAAATTAGTTCATAAATAAATTTCACCGAATCGGTATACAAATTGGAAATAACTTCAAAATATATGCCACATTTTAACAAAAAACTTTTAACTAGTGTTTAATTTCTAGATTTATTGGTTTCTCTCTAAATGTTGTGAACATACGTCAAAAGTCAAAAGAGTAAAAGTGGCAATAATATACAAAACGATTAAGATAAGCACAACTGGTCTCGGGTAATTGTGAAATTGGTTGTGTGCGCAGTTTGGTAAGTTTGCGAATTTAACTTATCTTGAACGAGGTGACTCCATTCAATCAAAATGTCATGTTTTTTTTTATAAAGGTCCACTTTAATTCACTTTTCTAGTAGTATAAAAAACAGTTATTTAATATCGGTTAAAACAATTTAATGACTAATTTAAAAAAGACAAACTATCAAAATATACCGCATAGTTTGGTAGTGAGGTGTGTAAATATAAACATAAACACTTTTTTAATAATGCCGTAGACAAAGTTAATAATAAAAGTATATCTTTTATCGGTTATCTAAATAATATTTATTCTTCTTAAACATTAGATTGTAACACATTTTTTAGAAGAAGAAAAAAAAAAACAATGACATAAGTGCTACTGATTTGATCACAAGTGTCTGTGTTTTAATCTCTAAACCTCTACGTAATAAATATGTAACATATCCCATTACAGAACATGTGAAGAATACGTCACTGATAAATTAGGGTTCGTGTTATCTATTGTATATTCTGTTGTTGTTGTTATTGTCTTCCCTTATCATGTGATAAATACTTGGAAAATGTACTTGACATTCGAAAAAAATAGACCATGTGGTCTATACAAATAAACTAAAATTGTTGTATAGGCCGAGATTTAACATTTTTAAATTAACAAATAAATACAACCACCAACAATTCTATCTACTGTGATCCCCAAAATAGTCAACATTAAATTAGCAGTGCTGTATCAGATAAAAGAACAAGAAAAACGTGAGCGTGAGCAAATCGATATGTACAGGATGAAGTCTGGAAATGCATCATTTCCAGACATCATACCAGATACCGGTCATCCTGAATAAAATGCCGGTCAGGAGCTTGCACCAGCTGATTAATACAATTTGCTAGGGGAATGCATGCCAAATAATTGGAACCCCAGCATCCCGTGTCCCGTGCACAAAAAAAGATGACAAGACGATATGTGCCAACTTTGGAGGAATTAGTCCCT